TTGGTCAAGTGAGGATTATACCGGTTGGCTATGTATGGGGGACCGGCTCCCTGATGCACATGTATAAGCGGACAGGCCATGTGCGAGAATGACTTTTCGAGGGTTTTGTGATGCCACTAACCAATCTCCATTTGATGTGATTAATTGAAGGTGATATAATTGAAGATGTTGATGTCGTGACACGTGCTTGATTAATTGTATTAATTACATAAATTTGGAAAGCATTTTGCATAATTGTTTGGGTTATGCATTATTTATTATTATTCACTGAGTTTATGAAACTCACCCCTTTTCTCTAAATTTTTCCCAGGAGGTAAACATTTTGCTGATCCAGATAAGCTTTGCGTCCTTCTTTGCAGAGATTCAATAGTAATTTCCAACTCTTGATAATGTTTAAATATATAGTATTGTGTGAATGAACAAACTGCGTCCATTTATTGGGCTCCGTAGTTAGGATGTTTTATTTATATTTTATTATGTAAAAAAATTAATAATGTGTTGTTCAGTAAACTTGTGGATTATTTTCTAATTGTCTTTTTTAAAGGTTATGAATGGATCAGTTTGCCCATATTATGAATGGCGTGATTGTACAAAATATATATACAGGCTTGAGTTATGAATTATTTGAAATATTGAAGCTGACCCAAAAATATAATTTAACAGAATAACTAAATAACGTCGAAATATAAGTTTATTGTTCCTAGAGTCAGTTTTTAAAAGAAATGGATTTTCGTAAATTAGGCTTATTACGGGCTTCGGGAGCTTTAGGCTTACCTGGGCTTCGGGGCTTTAAACTTATTTGGGCCCTAGTGCCGGCCGATCCACTGTTTTTAGTCATAACATTTTAGTCTATTTCCTAAAAGATAGGGACGGACTAATTGTATTTCGAAAATCACAAGCATTTTACTATAACTTTTCCTATTTATAATATCCATACATGTTACTTATAGTAGACTTTATATTTTATAATGTAGATCTGATTACAAGAATCAATAAACCAGATAAAATTCTTCTGACCTTAAAATTTATAAACTAAATTCAACAACAAAATATAATTTTAATAAAACTATTTTCATCCTATAAAATATGTATACAATATTATCTTTATTTTTAGCTCATTCTCTTTTCTCACAAAAAAAACATAATTGTCTAAATATATCCTCTTCTATTAAATCTAAATCTAAGGAATAAACATCTAGCACTACAAGAAAAATACAGCATAACAATAGAACTATAGCAATGGATGGTATCTGTTTCCAATTAGGAAGCGAACGGAAGAATAGGCAACAATTTGGGAGTAGGAATTAATTTCAAAATTTAGAAACAAAATAGCAACGGAACATCACCAAGGGATCTTATCGTTGGCCAATCCAAAATAATGGCGGGTGTCTAAGAAACGGATTTGCAAGAGATTGGGATGGATATTAGCATTGATTTGAAATCCGTTGCTAAGTTTTGTGAGATTGACAAGGGAATAGCAATGGATTTTAGCATCGATTTGAAAGCCGTACTAAATTTTGTGGAAAATGGAGATATGCATTGGCAATAAATCGGTAAGGAATTGCAACAGATTTTTTAGCATCGATCTGAAATACGTTGCTAAATGTCCAACAAAAGAATGAATCTATTCGCAATTGATTGGCAAGCGATTATCAACAGAAATTAGCAAAGGATTTGTAGCCGTTGGTAATATTCATGGCGAAATTTCTTTGTATTTTTTTTGAATTTTTATCTTTTATTTATTTATTTTATTTTATTTTCAATCTTAACAATATAGTGGAGAGATATGAACAAGGGAATACGCATAATGGATTTTAGCATCGGATTTTGAAAGCCTAACTAAAGAAAGAATTTTTGTGGGAGAAAATGGAGAATATGCATGTGGCAATAAATCGGTAAGGAATTGCAACAGATTTTTAGCGATCCGATGAAATACGTTGCTAAATGTCTCAAGCAAAAGAATGCAATCTATTCGCAATTGATTGGCAAGCGATTTATCAACAGAAATTAGCAAAGGGATTTGTAGCCGTTGGTATATTCATGGAGAAATTTCTTTGTTATTTTTTTTGAATTTTGTATCTTTTATTTTAGTTTATTTTATTTTTATTTTCAATCTTAACAATCATATATCGTATAATATTACTATATACTAGTAGTGAATTATTTATTTGTAAATATCAAATATAATAATTATTTATTTGTAAATATATCAAAGTCTTTATACTCGTCATAAGAAACAAGTTCCTACATAATCATGCCACATAAGAAAGATCCACAGAATTTATATAATTACCTTTGAAGATCGAACTGTTTTATTAAGCTAAAAATCTAATTTTGCTAGGACTTCTCAGAAAATCGACCAAATATGTTTTACTATTTTGGTTATGGCAGTTTGTTACATGTCTAGTCTGTCTAGGATGGATTAATATCTCACATTAGCTATTTATTTTGATTAGAATTTGAATAATGAATTCCTAATATTTATTTCTGGAAAGTATAATTTTAATTAAAAATTATAACAAAAGAAAAAATATATAAGAGAAAGTTAGTAAAAAGGAAGAAATAAATTATAACAATTAAATAAGATAGTGAAAAATATTTTTAAAAATATAGAGAAAGTGTAATCTATAAAAATAGACTATCTAAAAAATTGCATTATGCTATGAGAAGTAATAAATTAGAATAAGTAGTAGTCCTAAACTTTGTAACCAAATTAAAAAAGAACAAACTAAAATTATGATTTACCACAATGACATTATTTAACAAGAAATGAAAAGAAAATAACAATATTTAAAAATCATATATATCAAACCAATAAATTCAAAATTCAGATTTTAATTTTGAATTTAAAATAAGTTCCAATTATGGAAAGCTGAATTTATTTAACATAAGAAAAAAAAAAAATAGGATGTTATCCTAAAATGTAAAACATGAATATAAGAAAACCAAAAAGTTAAAATTCACAATTCATCAACAAATTAGATGTTCAAATTACATTTCTTTTTTTAGTAGAAAAACATCTCTAATTTTTAGAATAATACTAAAATTTTTTTTTGGTATAACTGAGAGGTGTAATCCCCCTCGAGCCGTGTAGAGTATAAAGATTTTTAGCCCTCCTAGCAAAGTACACTTCCTAAAGATTAAATCTGTGTTTTCACCCTTCCGGAGATTAAGGTCACTTGTCACGTCAACCAACACATTGTTGGTAAAATAATACTAAAATTTTATATAACATAAATAATTATTTTTCAAAAATTAAATATTGAGATTCAATACACTACAATTGATAAATATATATATATATATATTCTTAGAGATTTAGGCTCACTAAATAATTTTAACACCAGAACATACAAAACATATATAGAAATAAGGAAATAAAAATAAAGAGCATGTGAAATCACATATAGAAATAGATAAAACAAAAAAAAAAAAAGAAAAAGAAAAAGCCAAAAAAAAAAGAGGGTAATGAATCATAAACAAACATAATTTTGATAAAAAAAAAATCTAAATGCTAACTCATGCTAAAGAATAAAATGGACATTTTAAAGTTATTTAACAGAAAATTTAATGGATAAAATAAAAGTATTGGAATTAAAGTAGGACTATTAAATTACTTGTTGAGAATATAATAAAATATAATGTAATCTAAATATTGTTTTTCTTTTTGTGCATCAGAAATTTTTTAAGTTGCAGAGGTTGAATTCATTATCTATTGCACTAACAAATTTAGGGTAAATGTATCACTAGATAGATTAGGTAGTTAGATTTCAAAACTGTAATTTAGGATTTACATTAACAAGTAATTATGGGTTATGATTTCAATGTTCAATTAATAACCATGATTCATATGTAAAAAAAAAAGGATGTATCTCACTTTTACACTAATCTACTATTATCTTAAAGTTAAAAAAAAAAAAAAAAAAAAAAAAAAAAAGGTTCGTTTAATTCGAATTATCTTATATGCGAGCTAACAAATTTTTAGGGTAAATGTAAAATCTCACTAGAATAGATTAGGTAGTTTAGATTTGCAAAACTGTAATTTAGGATTTACATTTACAAGTAATTATGGGTTTATGATTTCAGAATGTTTCAATTAATATAGACACGATGGAGTTCAATAGTTTGTATAAAGAAAAGGGATGTATCCACTTTTACACTAATTCTAACTATTATGCTTAAAGTTTAAAGAAAGAAAAAAATAAAAAAAAATAAACAAATAGAAGCAAAGTTTAAAAAAAAAAAAAAAAAAAAAAAAAAAAGCAAATTTTGATAACTCTTTGATTTAATGGAACTTTTGTGGACAAAAAACATAATTAATGTCTCATGTTGCCCTAAACCATCAATTATCTGGGGCCATTTCCACTGTTTTTTTTCATCTTATATATTTATCAACTTCATTTCAGTAAATGGAAATTGTAATTAAGTTTTGTTAGCTTAAAATGAGGTTTGAACAACTATACAAGACAACCATTCAATTCCGATGATTTTCATAATAAAATATTATTAATCATGTGAACAATTTTCCAATATTAATTTTTATTTGGATCCATTTCAACAATTTTATCTATTTAATATATAATATAAATTATGCTGGGGAATCAACTTGTTGATGTAGATGGGTTTTTTGCTGATAAAATAATGACATAACTTTTCATGTAAATTTCCAATTTTGTTTTATATAGCTAGAGGTGTAATCTCACTCAAACTGTATCGACTAAAGGTTTTTAATCCTCCTAGTAAAATGCACTTTACGGAAATCAAATTTATTCTCATAAGGGTTTAGATTGCTTAAACCCCAACTAACACCTTGTTGATATAATAATTTCAATTTTCATGATTCAACAAACATATATCTTACATTTGAATTCAAGAATTAATTGAGAGAAAGCCTAAAGCTTTGAGAATTTGTTAAGTAAACCAAACCTGTTTGGTGGGATTTTTTCTTTTTACCCTTCCCACCCATTTTAGCAAATTGCACCCCAATGATCAAATCCAACTGAGAAAAAAATAATGCAGATAGAATGCAAATTAAAGTTATAAATCAAATACAAGGACATAATGAATATTCTAATTACATCAAACATATATCAAACAACTGGTTATAAATTGTTATTAATAATTCAATTTAATTAGCGAAGAGTCTCAATAGTTTTGCTTAATTCCTCCAGCTTCTTCAACCTCTGTTTCTCACTTTCACTCACCAGCTGACAAGCAGTCCATACAAGAGTAAAAGCAAAGAAACAAATTCAAAAAAAAAAAAAAAAAAAAAAAAAAATTCAAAAAAAAAAAACAAAAAAAAAAAAAAAAAAAAAAAAAAGTATCAGCTAATTAGCAGTCAAATTAAAAGAACAAAAATTACTTTATTGATCAATGAAAATGATAATTATTTGATACCTCCATTAATTTGGAAACTAGCTGAGCTTTTTCCTTGTTCTTCTCATTAAAAGCTTCAAGTGCTTCTTTATATTCTCTCTCCTGCTAAGCCATATATTTTTTTTTTAGGGTCTCCAATAAAATTTTTCTCCAATGGAAAATAATTTTCTTAAATTTATTAATTATATTTTACTAGAAATCCCTTCGATTACGTTGTATTACGATCTGCATTATCGCTCACCAAATATAGCTTATATATTAGCTTATATATATATATATATATATATATATAATATATATATATAAGAAGTCATTTATTTGAAAACAAAGGAACAAGCTATGGAGATTTATATATAAGAAGCATTATTGAAAAACAAAGAACAAGCTATGGAGATTTGACCTTCTTCTGGCAGTTCTGGCCAAGCGGCTTCAACTCCCGATTAACTGTATCGATCTTTTTTCGAACTACCGAAACTTCCTTCCTCACTGGATCTGTGAGAGCTTCGAGCTCCTAAAAACATTTTTTCTCATTCAAAAATCCATATTATGTCTCCAAAGAGGGGGAAAACAAAAAGCATACTAATAGCATACAAATTTTGCTTACTTCTCGTATCTCGGCTAAGCGTTTTGTTTCTTCTTCGACACGACCTAACTGAGCCTGAACTCGGTCTCTAACCTCCATTTTCTTCCTCTCAATCTCTTCTTCTTTGGCTCGAAACATAGCGAGTGCTGACCTTGTCATTTCTTCTTCTTTGTCGTCCTTTACCGGACTTTCATCAGCACCAATCATACCTGGATTCTTCAATCTTTGCACTTGAGATTGTTGTTGTTCTAATACTTGTTTTTGGGTAGTCATTGTTCTTCTTTAGTTCTTTCTTGATCTTTAATTTCTTCCCCTAATGTTTTCTTTCTGTTGTTGTAGGTATGGTTATAAATAAATAAAAGTTAGCTTTAAACAGTTTCAAACCAACTTGCTTAATTACTTTATAGCAAACCAATATATTATACACCGAGTTAAATTACCAAATTGCCTTCATTGAATCACCTTTAATCTTCAAGTTGAAAAGAGGATTTCACCTTTGTTGAATGAAGACTCAACTTTGAAAACCTCTCTCTCTCTCTCTCTCTCTCTCTCTCTCTCTCCAACCTTCTTTTCAACTTTACCAAAAAATGAACATAATCAATCACACTTCATTATTAACTTTGCCTACATTCTTGGTAAAACTTTTACTTCATCTCCCTTATTGTATTTTAATACTTTGGTAGATGATGATTTAGATCTTTCCCTTTGGTCAGGCAGCTATTTTTTAAGTGGGTAATATTAACAAATATAACTAACTAATGTAATTAATTTCACTTTATTTTGGAACTATTCGGCAAAATTAGCCGTCTTGATAGCTTGTTTTAATAGTGTTTAATTGGAGCTGTTTGAGTAGCTATTCATAAAATGTTAAACGTTAAACATTATAAGTGTTAACTTTTTATAAAACAGTACCTTAATATTAAAACTCTACCTTAATCTATAAAAGTTCAAATAATATATTACCGAATACTATAAAAATGGCGTTTAACGTTTTGACTTATCTTACTACTAAAAGTTATTTAAAAAGCTATTTTCGAACACGACCCTTATTAAACAAAATATATTTGTAAAGTAACAACATATATCTTAATATACAAGAGATGGAACAACAATATATTAGATTTTAAGAAACTATATATTAGTCCCCAATGTAAAGTCTAGTTTCACTCTTTCTGATACAAGAAAGGAGTTGTCTACACTGCAAGTTCTAGTGAGATTATATATATAATAATGAAATGAAATTTTAGTACTACCATACAACTATGTACCTTACCCGCTCTTAAAGGTTTTCATAAATGATATGTTTTAGATTACATAATAGAATTTACAAAGAGTGTATTTGAAGAATTAATCTTAATTTTGTATGGTAATTAATCCTAATTATCTATATGTAGGAAGAAAATACACATAATTAGGTTTAAGTGTTTAATTTGGTTGAAAGGTCTTAAAAAAATATAGGTAAATCTTCTTTTTCCTTGAAGAAGAGTGCTTTGGGTGAAAGTTTTGTTTGTGAGAGTGGACAGAAAGGGCTCACCTACACAAAATAATTTATTTTTGAGAGCCTTAGAGGACAAGACAGAGTAGGAGAGAAAGGAAATTAGCTAGCTTGCCTTTTAATTACATATATCATTACTCTTCCATTTTCAAATAAATTCTGAAAAAAGAATCTTCCCATTTAATCTTTTCCTTTTTCTTTTCTTTTTTTCATGTTATCTTTGCTAAAATTTTCCATATCTGAACTTTGTGGGCTGATTTTGTACCATTTTTTTTCTTTTTTTTATTAGGGGAAAAAAAACAGTTCACACCATGGAATTGATTTGCAAAGCATTTGAAATTGAAATGAACATGCATTATGAGAGTTATTGATCATTAAATTAATGATATTGTTTATGCTTTTTCACCTTTAATTTTATATGTAGGGACCTATATGAAACAAATTGAATTAAAAAGGGGTATAGACATAATAAAGTTCTAGCTTGCTGATTTAATATTTTAATCTAATCATAATTATGCATCAATCTACCTTTCTTTGTTTTTGTATATTTCATGATCCATACCTTAACTTCGTGTTCAACAATTGTAATTGCCAATATTCTCTTTGTATCTTTAGCAAGTTGCACTTTCTAATTCCAAAACTCAAATTCGTGAATTTTGCTTAAGTCATTCTGTTTCCATTGTGGGGGTGTTGCCATATTGGCCGGAAAGAATATATGGCGTGAAATTGGTCTCGTGCAAACTTTACTCATTATACCTAGGTTGCACGTACACGGAACATGGGACACGACATGATAAGAACATGGGATATTGATATGGAGCAACTTACACTTTAATATATGGAAGATTTGGATCGCTGAAAACCCAAGAAGAAGGGGCACGACCATGCCATATCCAGCACGCCCGTGCCAGCTTCTGGAAGTCCAGGACGCGAGACACGCCCGTGCTAGCCTCTGGGAGTCCAAAGCACGCCCGTGCCATGTACAGCACCCCCGTGCCAATAGGTCAAGCTACGATTCGCACATAGACACGCCCGTGTCACTTCCAGCACGCCCCGTGCCAGCCTCTGATAGTCCAGGACACGCCCGTGTCATGTCCGGCACGCCCGTGCTGCCACCCTTACTAGGGTTTTATCTATTTACGACTTTTATATTATTTTTTTAGGGTTTTATGCTTTAGACTAACCTATAAATATGTTATTTTTGTATCTTTGGCACATTCATTATTCTTTGATCATTATTCATATTCAATAAACTTCTTGAGAGTTTAATTCTCTAATTCTTTCATCAGATCAAACGTCATTGTCCTTTGATCATTATTCATATGATCATTATTCATATTCAATAAACTTCTTGAGAGTTTAATTCTCTAATTCTTTCATCAGATCAAACGTCATTGATCAAAACTCCTAACGGAGTATAATCGTTATTCGCATTTACGTAACCGTTCTGCATCAGTTGGTGACAGAGCCGAAAGGCAAAGTATCTCCATGGCTGACAATCATGAGACACGACTCACAGCCATCGAGGTAAGGTTCGAAGAGTTAACCGAATAGATTAGGTAGTTGACTCTCGCAATCCAACAAGGCAACCCACAACTTGCAGCTGCAACAGCAGCTCCGAATCCACAGTAACCAGATTATACAAGACACTAAAATCGTTATGATGGAGGCCAAGATTACGGAGGCAATGATGACAATTTTCATGATGCATACAAGATAAATGTAGACCTTCAACCCTTCTTAGGATCGCTAGACATAAAAAGTACTCTTGACTGGCTAGCGGAGGTCGCACGATTCTTTGAGGTCATGAATGTTGAGGATGAACGTAAGGTTTCCATTGTGGCATATAAACTGAAAGGAGGTGCAACAGCATGGTGGCATTCTATTCAAAACGAACGCCATCGTTGAAGGATTGAACCTGTGCGAGATTGGATCTTAATGAAACAGATGATTAAGCAGCGTTTTCTCCCTAGTGATCATTCCCAAATCCTGTTTAATAGGTATCATGACTGTTTCCAGGGAAATCGAAAGGTAGATGAGTATACAAAAGAATTCTTAAAATTGCAGGCTCGATGTGACAATTGCAAGACTGAATCACAGCAAGTGGCTCATTATCAAAGGGGATTGAATCATGATATAATGTGTATGATGGGTGTAGCTGCGATTTTCACTTTGGCAAATGCAATTGAGATGGTCAAACGTGCGGAAGATAGAATTAATTGGCAGCCTCGACAACCACCTAATCGTAACCAGAATTTCAGGCAACCCTATTCATCCGGAAATCAACAGTTCAATAGAAATTCTGGTGGAGAGAACTCAAAAGCAGCCACTGCCAATAACTAGAGTTCACAGCAGCTCACAACAAAAGAAAAGAAAGACTCCCGAGGAAAGGCTCCCATGGTAGACAGAAACAATAAGTAGAATTCGTATTAGAAGCCAACTGGAGATTATTGTTACCATTGTAGAAAACAGGGGCATACATCTAATATATGTCCAGAACGTAGGGGGCTAATGATGGGCGTCAACAGGTGAATGTAGTTGATGAGGTGACGATGGGCGTCAACAGGTGAATGTAGTTGATGAGGTGACTTAAGGTTGAAGAGGTAGAAGACGCAGATGAATGGATCCAATGGTGGTTTCTGAAGATGGAGAAAGTTACATAGGTTGTGCAGATTCTGAAGATGGAGAAGTTACATATGTTGTGCAGAAAATTTTGTGTTCTCCAAAACAGGAAAGCGACACTCAACGAAGAAAAATTTTCCAAGCTAAATGTCGGGTTGGTGAAGCGATGTGACGACTCATCATCGACAGTTGCAATTGTAAAAATTTGATAGCCAAGTAGTTGGTTGAAAAGCTAAATTTACCCATCAAACCACATCCTTCGCCGTACAAAGTAGGGTGGATTAAAGAGGGTCCAACGATTGAAGTAAACCGGATTTGCAAGGTTCCTATATCAATAGGAAAGTCGTACTCGGAATCCATTAGTTGTGATGTTGTGGATATGGATGCTTGTGGAGTACTGTTAGGACGTCCAAGGCAGTTTGATGTAGATACATTGCACAAGGGAAGCGAGAATTCATACTTGTTCACATGGAAAAACAAGAAAATCATTGTCTTACCTTCTAGATCTTCTACCAAAGCTTCTAAAGTGGAGGGAAAATCCATAGTAGCTATTTCTTCCAATGTGCAGGAATTATTTGGTGCAATTGAGAAGTCCAGAAGTGCATTGGCATTACTGATCAAACCAGAGACAGGCTTTAATGAAGGGGCACTAGTACCCCCACCAGTCAAGGAGTTGCTAGATGAGTTTCATGTCATAGTTGAAGAACCATCTACACTTCCACCTTTGCGGGACATTCAACATCAGATTGATTTTATCCCTGGATAGAAGATACCAAACCTGCCCCATTATAAGATGAATCCAAAGGAGAGTCAGATCCTTCAAGAACAGGTAGAAGAATTATTGAAGAATCTGGGAGAGCATTAGTCCTTGTGGGGTTCCTGCTTTATTGGTACCAAAGAAGGATGGGACTTGGAGAATGTGTGTGGATAGTAAAGCAATCAATAAGATCACAGTATAATATCGATTTCCTATTCCTCATTTGGAGGACATGTTGGACCAATTGTCAGGGTCTACAATATTCTCCAAAATATATCTCTGCAGAGGGTATCATCTAATCAGGATCAAAGAGGGAGATGAATGGAAAACCGCATTTAAGAATAAGGAGGGGTTATACGAGTGGTTAGTTATGTCATTTGGGTTGACTAAAGCACAGAGCACATTCATGCGACTTATGACTCAAGTTTTGCTCCCTTTCTTGTGCAAATTTGTGGTTGTTTATTTTGATGACATCTTAATTTTCAATCGCAGTGACGAAGAACACCTTCAACACCTTCGACAGGTGTTGGATACTTTACAGAAAAATGAGTTGTACATTAACCATAAGAAGTGCAGTTTTATGATCGAGAGGATTCTATTTCTTGGCTATATTGTTAGCTCGGAAGGAATTCATCTTGATGACAAAAAGATAGAGGCATATTCGAAATTGGCCTATTCCCAAGAACATCAC